TTTTTTTTTTTTTTTTTTTTTTTTTTTTTTTTTGGTGGAATATTATTGCTAACATAGTGATAACGTTGACAAAGGTACTTTCAGTGGTATCATAACAAGATGGTTGTATACTTGAGTGTTTCAAGTATATTGATGTAAAGTATCCAGTTGTGTTCTCTATATTAGTTGTTTGATCGCAGCTAAATGTTAAATGGTTAGTACTGTTCAGTACTTTCGTTAGTTTTAAATCTTTTTTGATGGTTAAAAGGAAATCAGAAAGAAAAAAAAAAAATGATGGGACCTGAAGAAATGTGAAATGTATAGTTGGTATAGATCATGTCAGTATTTTGCCTTTCAGAAAGCGTCAATTGCATTAATTTTTATTTATTTCTGTGTCTGCTTTCTTTTGTTTTCTGTTTTTTTTTCTACTTTTTTTTATTGTTGTTGAAAAGCCAACTGCTAAATTTGCTATTAAAATGATATTATTTAAGTATCAATTGTTGTCATTGTTGTTGTTGTTACTGTTGTCATATAGTTTTTTAGTTTTCAATTTAAAGACATTGGAAGTAAAAGTGTTTTTTAATTAACTTTAGTTAAATGTATGCGCTTTCAATGTGCAAATTTAAATGCATATTTTGCAGTAAAAAACTGATTGATCAATAATGATTAATTGTCTAAACGTTATTTGAACACATCTTTATTGTACCTAAATACGTATGTATTTATGTCAATTAAAAATAATCTTTAGACAACTAAAGTAAAAATTTGAAGCTTTAGTGCAATGTTTATCGTCAATTAATTTATGCCGAATATAAGTAATGATGGTCATTTAGTTGCTAAATGTTACTGTCTCTGTTTTGGTTTCTTTTTATTGAGAAGAGATATATCTGTGAAATTTGAGTTGGATAAAATGAATACAAGAAGATTTTGGCTTATTTTTTTTCAACGATTTAGTTAGGATAGTTGAAAGAATGGAAAGTATTTTCTGCATAAAGTTTCATCGTGGCCAGCAGCTGAAAAGAGAACTCAACAAAGCGCTGAGAAGAAGAAAAAACTGGATTATTGATGATTATGTTGGATTGCACTTTATTCTTATAACTTCAATATTAGTCGCTCAAAAGTTTTCTCAATGATAGGTGTAGCATAAATAGGTATATTGTAGTCATCATGTTGACTACAGATTAGTGACAAGAAAAAGAATAAAAAGAATCTGTTCACTCAACTTCTGTTCCTTTTTTTTTTTTTTTCTTTGTTATTTTTGCCAACTTTCAGTAAGCTGTTTCATTTTACTTTTTTAAGTTTGTTCTCAGAAGTTTTTCTTAATTCTTTCT